AAGAAAACAGAAGAACTTGAGTGGGGGGAAAACGAAAGAGAGAGAGAGAGAGAGAGAGAGAAAGAAGAAGAGTATGGACATGGTGTTGACCGGGCTTTGAACCCTGGTCCCTCTGGAGTACTACGCCGTAGTACGGAGCTTGGTCGGATTGGCCAATCCGGTCCTCTTCTTCGGTGCATCGGGTTCACTATCAACCCTACTTTCATCGTCTTCGTTTCTCTTTCCCTTCCTGTGTATTTCTTATATCCTCAACCCTTCCTCTTCGTACTTTTCAAACATTGTCTTCTTTTATTTGCTATATCTGCATAAAAATATGTTATTTAGTCATTTTATAAATATCTCTTCATGTTTTATATAAATTACACACACACACACACACACATATATATATATATATATATATATATATATATATATCTATGTGCTAAACGATAAGTTAAGTTTCTTAAAATATGAATCAAACGGATTTATAACAGATTTCTAAGTTGGTTCCGTTATCCAGGAAAAGTCCAGTATACCCCCTGCCAGGTGTATTGATACTGAACAGGTGGTATCTACTTCTACTTCTAACTGATGTTGTTGATGCTGTTAGAAAAAACTCATTCCTCTCTCTTTCTCTTTACTGAAGATACAAGGAGAGAGAAAGAGAGAGAGGGAGATAGAGAGGGGGCGAAAAAAGGATGAAAAGGAACTCCTGGACGCGTCAGTTCGTCCATACCATTTTGCAGACGAGACGAGAACGGCTTCTGGTGTTGAGCTTCCTCGAAGAAGACTTGGAAGAACGGCCTACTACCAACTCTCTCTCTCTCTATCTCTCCCTCTCTATCCTTTCTTTCTCAGCAGCCTTGCATTGCCTTGCTGGACTATACGATGGATGATCTTCTCTTTTCTACTTGCTTGCTGATTCTCTTTCTCTCTCTCTCTCTCTCTCTCTCTCTCTCTATATCTTCGATGGTGGGGAGAGAAACAGAGACAGAAGAGAGTTGAGCAGGGTAAGGAAGGAAGGAAAGGACCGTTGCACTGACCGGGCTTTGAACCCGCTATGTGGTAAACAACAGGTACGTTGCACCCGTGCCGCAATTTGTAAGACTCGACCTGACGAAGATCTCTGCACCGGGAAGTCGTCGCTCCGAAAATACTTGGCGAAAGACTTCCTAACGGCAGTGTACTCTATTCACTTCCTCTCCCTTTTATCATATCACCTCCTTCCCAACTCTATCTACGCTTTCCCTGTACTTTCTTCTTCAACAAACTGCTAATTGGAAACTTAACTTCATTTTCTTCAACCAGAACTTTATAATGGGCTCTTCAACATCTCTAACAATCAAGATTTTGATGTATTTTCATTTGATTTTACATATACCTGATGACTAATACATTGTTTACGAATCCGTTCCAATTGCTGTGGTCTTTACGTGGTTGGATTTAATAAGAAGACAATAATAGTGATGATTATAATCATCAAAAATGTTTGTTAATTTTGGTTGTTAGATAAGGTTTTGTATTGTTCACCAGGAAATGGGCTATCGGTTTGAAACGGGGCCAAACGGTATCTTGACTCAGGAACGGACGTCATCAACTTCCGGTGTTGTTTAGACGAAGCGTCTAGCACTCTTTCATGACCGATCATGACTCGTCGTTTCGCTTACGAGAGATGGCGTAATACGTTCGTGCAATGAACATTTTCTATCAAAAAGAGAGAAGGTGATGAAACAAAATCTATTTTACATATTTCCCTACAAACTATCGACCCTTTTCTTTTTATTTTCTCTGAAAGAAAAACGTCATTCGTAATTAGAAATATTACCAATTGACTGAGATGACAATAAGTTCATTTTTAAAATGTTTTCTTTCTGTTTAAATTTATCAAGATATCACCTTTCGATTTTTCCAAGTCAAACAGAAAAATACTTTGCTATTCGAGTGTTCTCCATTACCGACATTTGAAATTTGTTACTCAGCGAACCTTTGGCGCCACTGTCGTTGAATTACCAATAGAAGGCCACCTATACAATTTTTGGCGACTTTTTAAAAAATTTCTTACACTTTCTATAACATATCATTTAAAAAATAATATTATATATGTATATATAAAATTGTAAATAGAGAGATGCTATTTACCAAACATAAACAACGTTTAGAGATATTATGCAATACCCAATATACTATTTTTGTCAAAAAAGGAGAAAGAAAACAATATGGCAGAATTCTGCATATCTTCTTCTGCGTATTTTACAAATAATAATCGTGATTTTACACGTTATTGTTATTATTATTATTATTATTGTTGTTGTCACGTTTCTCTTTCCTCCATTTTAGCTTGTCAGACAATAAACACGCAATGCTTGGTAATAATAGTAGTAATAATAATATAACCGAAAAAAGAAGAGAATATCGAGAGAGATAGACAGAGAGATTGCTTATTTTGTTTCACTTTGGTTCGAGGAGGAAGTGGTAAAAAAAATGCATACTGCAATTCAAACGTATATATAAGTATAAGGACAATTGTGTCCACTGCGAAACCAGTTCATGGTTCGACTGCTCTCACGGTACCGATCCGCTACCGGAATCGAGGTCATTTCCGGCTTACTACTTTGCTTTGGAACGGAGATTGAAGTGCAAAAGAATAAGACATGATCGATCATCTTGATTTATATTCTTTTCTTTTATCTTCAATTTCTAATTTCATTTTTTTTTTTCATTTTACTGTATTATCAACATCCAGTCAAATAATTTCTATCCAAACGAAATTGTATGTTTGCCATTTTGTAGAATCATAATTTTCTATAATCTCTATTATTTACAATTAAAAATAAAAGAAATTGTGTAAGATAAAGAAATGGACTGGAAAAGCCAAAAAAAAAAAAAGAAGAAATAAGATGCACGATACATTTGTAAATCATCAATCACAAAAATCTGTCAGTAAAGTGTCAAACGATGTATTTCTTTTTAACTTATTGATTCCAAAGAGCAAAAAAAAAACAGAGAGAAAGAAATAAGCAAGGTTCTTCGTTTCATTGAAGAACGAGTGCGAAATGTGAACGTATCGTCTAAAAATATTGTCGGGGAGGCCCAAGGTGCGCCTAGCAACAGAGATTGCATAGAAGCATGTAACTATAGTGAACGTGCGTGTTGTATACGTACTACATCGTCTACACGGTCGTCATCGTCGTTGTCTTCGTCTTCGTCGTCATCGTAGTCGCACAAAGAGTCCGCGAGAAACCACGAAAATGAAAAGATTAAAAAAAAAAGAAAAAGAAAAAGAAAAAGAAAAAGAAAAAGAAAAAGAAAAGAAAAAATATAAATATTACAAAATTGATATTTAAAATATGTAGCAACTTTTAAAATATTCAAATAAAACTAAAAATAAACGTGTCCAATTGAAAACACAAGAATATAATATTCATTTTAATTAAAAAATCGTTAAAATTGTTGTTTGAACAGAACCATAATGTAAAAATTGTTGATTTTTGTTCTCAATTAAGAAATATCTCAGGATAAGTTTAAACGTCTGATTCACGTAGTAAGTCATGTGAGCACTCTCTTAGTCACGTGAACTTACTACTTCAATATTCAAAATTTACCGGTACAACATTAACACACAAATACTATTTATACAATAATTTGTATAATTCATTTTTCTTAATATTCTAATTACTCTTTCAATCTTATTCTTATGTTTTTAATTGAATGATATAAACGGACGTTTCTTACAGTCTTCATTTTCACGGCTACATGATTAACAGGGTAATATTATAAACCCTTAAATTCGAGTATGAAAAACGAGCGTAGTTTTTCTGGGTTTTTTTTTCTTTCTTTCTTTCTTTTTTTTTTTTTTTTTTAAATCGAGACAAGCCGGATACGCTAATTACAAGATGATACGAGAAACGATCGATAATGATATCTTACTGAAATCGGTGAAGGTACATTTTTTTTCTTTCTTTTTTTTATATACTCTCTTTTCTCTCTCTCTTTCTTTCTCTGTCTGTCTTTTAAAGAAAGATTGCTCTTCTCTACACCACTGTAGTAGGACAATTATCCTCAATCACGTTCCACGATTCGAATCGGATTGGTGTGCAGATGCTGCTGCACTCTGTCTCCCATTTTGAAACCCGATATCCGATGACCGTTAAGAACCACAATAATAATAATAATAATAATAATAATAATAATCGTAACAACAGTACAAAACGGAAGCAAAGTCAATTTTACTCTCACGTGTGTCGAATGGGAGTTTCGTAAAGGGTCCACAGTAAAAGAACGCACCTGTTTTTGAATTCTCGCAAAACAAACGAGCATCACTGAAGTTTAAAATCTCACGAAACACCTGTATATACTTTGCTTATTAATTCTTTTTCTTTCTTTATATTCCTTTTCTTTTTTTTTTTTCAAGTTGTAAATTTCAATCTCACCTTCTTTCATCTCATATTCAGATTTGTACTATTTCTTCGTATTTTTTCTACAAATTTTCTGTAACAAGGAACGATTGTAAGGATAAAAACGTGTGGAAAGTAAAAGGAATGAATTAAGGTAATTAATTAATTAACCTGGAGAAAAACAGGATGACTAAGATGGAAGGATCAATTACTTCTTCTTTTGAAGGTGTAACATTGGAAGTTCCAGCTTTGAATTTCTTACGTTGAAAATGACCATTCGCGGCGTTTATAGGGGGATTTTCTGTAACAAGGAATAATGATAAGGAAAAGATGATAAGAAGTATTGGATGAAAATTATGATGAACAAGAAAATGGCTGTTAAATGAAAAAGAATAAGACCTACTTTGTTTAATTGTATTTTTTTGTTTTTGTTTCTTTTTTTTTTCTTTTATAGATAATTCTTTTTCTTAATAAACAATAGCCACTGTAGTTTTTACTTACTTATGTGTTAGTTTTCATTTTTTGTTTAGACTCTCTTACACAATTACGGTTTATATAATAATAATAATAATAATAATAATAATAATATAATAATAATATTAATAATTATTATACATGTATATATATTTATATATATATATCTATATATTTTATATATTTTATATAGTATATAAATATATATAATGTGTCAGATTTAAACATAATTCATTCTTAAAGATATACCACGAATACCGGTGTAGAAAATAGAGGCTCTTGGATCACTGGGAGTAGTAGTTTTGTTTTCTTTTTCACACATTCTCGTTTGTTATCTTTCATTTTCATCCCTTATGATTAATACACATGCACATTTAATGCTCGCATATGGTCATATTTATGCACACTCTTGAATTAACACACATACAACACGTATGAAAGAAGATTCTGCGAAAGAAAAAAAAAACACATTAAACTAAGATCGAGTATAATTAATCTAATTAAACGATTAAGAAGAAGTACATACTAAGTTATGTTTACTGAGATCACACTAATACATCACAGGGTTACATAGACATAAGACTTTCCACATGCTGCTTTTCATTTGTTTTATAAATATATATATATATATATATATATTTTTTTTTTTTTAATTTTAATTTGACCATTTCATTTTTTCTTCTACAATGGCAGACTTCTAATTAATCAGAGATTCGAAAACATATTTTTATTTGTTTAAATACATAGCCAATTAATTCTTGTACGCGTGTGTTAATACGTGCACGTGAGAGGTGAAACACACAATTAAAACATAAGAATAAAATAATATAAAAAAACAACAGAGGTCTGCCATTCGTCAAATGCATCGATATGGGGGTGGTAAGTGGGATAAAGAAAATATATATAATCCTTTCCAAATTACAACACTCATCGTGTGGCGTAGAGATTACGTACAATAATTTACGTAAAAATAATATAATAATGTAATATTAATAATAATAATAATTATAATAGTAATAATAATAATAATAATAAAGATTATTTTACAAATACATATATTAAATCATGGTCATTTTAGATGAGAATTGGTCCTAACTACAAATTTGATTAGAATGCAATTATAAAAATTGCAACAACTAAAAAAAAAAAAAGAGAAGGGAACGAACATAACGAGTTATAAAATTTAAAAAAAAAAATATATAAAAAAAAGCATATAATAAGAAAAATAAATTTTCTTCTTCTTAAGGACGTAGAGAAAAATAATGTCCATCTTTGGGACATGAAAAAAATGAAAGAAGAAAGAATAAAAAAAAGAATAAAAAAAAGAAAATAAAAAAGAAAAAAAAAAGTAAAGGACACGAAATAATTTTGATTTGACCTCTTTGCCATGGCACTCTCGCGGAAGAAACTTATATTTCTTTATGGATGATAGTTTTTAAAGTGTGTATGTACGTTTTTTTTTTCAAGAAATACACGCACGTACACACATATACACACACACGTACATGAACTCTCATAGTAAAATAACGCAATATGCTTTTTTCTGATATAATGATCTCAATTTGTCGGAAACTATACCTTTGTAACCGCAATTCGTATTAACTGTTTCTTTTTTTTCTTTTTATCAGTTATAATCTCTCTAACAAGTTTTTAAAGGGCTGTTGTTGTAAGTAAGGGGATGAAGGAGATGGGGAATTAAGTTTACACATTAGTGAAAAATCAGTAGGAAAGTCGGAAAGAAAAAAAGATCAATGGACTTTTTTTATATATATATGTATATATATAAATATACAAATTTCTGTAAAAAATTTTGTGAAATGAAACAACAATTTGTGATAATTATTAATTATTATTATTATTTTTTTTTTTCTAAACGAATGAAACAAAAAGTCCATTTGATCTTTTTTTTTTTCACTCTTTTCTTTTTTTTCTTTTTCCTGTTAGCTCACAGTTAGGCTTCGAAGGTACGAAAGAAAGAAGAACGCGGGGTGTGATTTGGCATCGGCTGTACTTTCATTATTTTTTTTTTTTTTTTTAAATTGTTGTACAGGAGATCAATGCTTAGAGAAAATATATTTATAAAAAAAAAAAAGAAGAAAAAAAATATTTAAAAGAGTAACAAAGTACGGCTAAGCCTAATTACACTACTACACTACACAGTTTAGCAATCATCATTGAGGCTTTGGCTGTGTCCTTTGAACGTCACAATTACCACCCCCCCCCACCCCATAAAAAAACAAAACAAACAAAATGTATATTCTTCTCGTTCGCATTAATTTCGAGTATAATTTCAAATCAATCAAAATTAACGCGACAAGATTTTCTTCCTTTTTGTTAAATTTATTTTTTTCTCCTTTATCGTCTTTGTTTTAAACTTGGTTATACACACGGGTAAAGTTCCACGAACCATCGAGGAGGTTAAGAAAGGTCATCGAACGTTCGTGGAATGTAGGACGACCAAGAAAGACTTAGAAAAATTCTCAGACCAGCCTAAATTGCCTCTTTCCTTTCTAATACATACACCACACGCAGCACGCTTACAAACACATCATGCTCACACATATTTTATATTTATATTTATATATGTGTATATATATATATATATCTATATATACATATATATATATAGAAAAATATACTACCGACATAGGTATATGCTTATATTTTAATAAAATAAAAATGCTATGTGTGTATTTTTATCTTTCAACTTAAAAATGTCTATTTCATTATTTATCTTATTCCAATAATAAATTCTAAGAGACACACACACACATACACACGTACACACACTTATGCAAAATTTTGAAATCATACATTCACGAACACAACAACACATACAAGTCAAACAAAATCATTTGCATTCATTCATAGATTTTTCTCTTTTTTTTTTTTTTTCCATTTACACTTCTACATTACATACACACAAATTCTTCTTAATTTTAATTACAGCGTGTTTTTTTTTGTGTGTGTTTATGTCTATCCAAGAAAAGAAAACAAAAATATATGCATTTAATATATTACAATAATTGATTTAAATGTAAAAAAGATTTATCCTTTGTTTTTCTAATCATACACAAATTTTTCCTTCACCCCATAATTTATTCCTTTCAATTTTATTGTTACCATCATTATCATCATCATCATCATTATGATCTTAAGTATGAATATTATTCATTATCTCTCATTTGTTATTACTTACATCGGTGTGATCAACATCCTCGTCATATTTCACATATATATATAAATATATATATATATATATAATATTATTATATATTACTATATTTATAATATACTTAATATATAATATATATATTTATATAAATATGACCGAATCGTAGTTATTAATTTATTTAAATTCTTTGACTACAAAAATCACATATATATATGTATACATTCTTGATGATTTATCCATGTACTAAATGAGAATCGTATATATATATATATATGCATTTTGTGTAAAGAACGATAAATAAATGATCAAAACGATTGACGAAAAAAAAAAAAGGTTTAAAAACTTATGCAAGAAAAAGCCCATGTGAATGATACAAAAATATCAACGACTTCGATGATGAAATATACATACAATTTTTTGAATTATTTTCATTTCTTTTTGTTTTTTCTCTCTCTCTCTTTTATTTTCATCAAAAGTCGTCGTCGTTTTTCTCTATCTATATATATATATATATACGTAATATTTATATTATTATTATTATTGTTGTTGTTGTTGTTGTTGTGTTGTTGCTGCTACTGCTGATATACTCGTTGATATTATTTTCTAGCTGTCTTATTTTCCTAACTTAACACATTTCGCCATCTTATTTATTCATTCTTATAAAATATCAGAATCGTGTGAATACCTCCTCTCACGAACGCACAAAAAAAAAAGAAATTTATTATTTATTATAATAAGAGGGTAGAAAAAGGTTATTTTTAAAAAAACAAAAAAAAACAAAAAAAAAGAGAAAAAAATAATAATTATATATTAAGAGAAGAAAAAGCATCTCTCTCACTCACTCACTCACTCACTCACTCACTCACTCTCTCTCTCTCTCTCTCTTTCTTTCTCTCTCTCTATATATATATATTTTTATATATATAAAAAAGAAAAAACAAAAAAAAAACAAAAAAAAAAAGAAAATATAAATCGTAATTCTAATTATTTTTTTTTTGCCGTTCATTTGTATATTATTGGTTTTCTTTTATTTTAATTTATATCTCTCTGTCCTGTGTGTGTGTTTTTATATTTATTTAATTTCTCTCTTGTTTTTAGCTGGACACGTGGGATTCGTGGCGCTACGATAAAATCTAGGTGAATGGCACAGCCTAAGGACCTCGCCTAATTTCTCTTCTTCACGCTTGTTTTCTTTTCTTTTTTATTTCAATTTTGATTTTGATTATTTCCATGTATCCTTTCCCTTCATTTTCGTCATTACTTTTTAATCTTATCTTCGCTGTTGTTGTTGTCTCGTCCTCATCCTCCTCCTCTTCTTCATATTATTTTCGATTAATCTTCTCTTACTTTTTTTTCCTAATTTGATTCTGCTTTTTATCCTTTTTTTTTTTGTTTGGTTTTGGTTCTTTTTTTTTATTACTTTTTTCTTTTTTTTTTAGAAAAATAACAAAATGTATTCCCAATAATAATTATAGGGATGAATTTTGTGCGTGTGTGTTTCTAATTGATTTGATATATGATTTGAAACGTAGACAACACGCTATATTGGATCATCGAAGAAGAAAAACTAGAAACGAGGCTGAAGGAGAATGCCGAAGGCCTCTTTAGCTGCGTATTTGTCCTGCATTACGTGCAACCTTTTCCGGTGGTTCTATTACACTCTTCGTACCACCGTTTAGACGACGTTTACGACTCTTCATGTAGTCTGTAATCAAACAAATGAAAAACAAAATAATATAGTAGATAAATTCAGTAATATTTACATATCATTTGTAAACAATTGTTTTTTCTTAAATTTTTAAAAAGTAGGATGGTCAAATGGGTTCTTTTAAATGATCTTATAGAAATCAATTACTTTAGTTACAATAGATTTAGATTAACACTATGGCGTCCAGTGATACCACTTTGGTGCCATTTAAAAACTATATATTGTACGCCGGTGGTACCACTTTGGTGTCATTTAAAAAAAAAACCCCAAATAGTAACATTTGAATTATATTTCGTGAGTGTTTAGGGGAGCATAATAATTATAAAATTGTGCTTATTTAACCAAGAATTAAATAAGACAAATTATTGAATAACATATTTTAATTAAAGCAATAAATATTGCCGCCATTTTGTAAATTTTATAAAAAAAAATTCAAAATTTTCTAGCTATTGTGCCAGCGTCAAACAAAAGAAACATATCTAAAATCTGCGGATGACATTATGACTACAGTTCTACAATCTAAGAATAAAAAAGAAAGAAAAGAAAAATATTACACATAAATTAATCTAAGTTTAAAAGAAGCAAAATATAAAAAAAAAGTAATTAATATTTTTTTTTTTTCAAATATCCCTTTCGTTTCTTCTTCTTCTTCTTCTTCTTCTTCTTCTTCTTTTTGAGTTTGAATTATTCGAGTCGGTCGAGGTAATTAATTATACAATTAATTAGAAACGAAATATGATCTTTTAAAAAAAAGTGTTGAGAAATCACTGATGGCATATAAAAAAGGCAAAATAAAACAAATAAAGTGAATATATTATCCCGTGTATGAGTTATAGGAATGATGTACCATATGGACTATATGACGATAAGGTTGTAACTCGGTTATGATCCGTTGTCATTGTCGTCTGACGCACAAGTTTTATCTTCAAAGAATTACAACATTTTTTATTGCTCTCTCTCTCTCTCTCTCTCTCTCTCTCTCTCTCTCTTTCTTTCTCTCTTTATTTATCTTTATTCTGCTTCTCTTTTTTTAATTGCAAAAAACGCAGCCACCAAACTTGACCTCCTTGTGCACGATATCGACCTATGACTTTAGTCTCTTATATTAAATGCACGCTATTACTAATCTTCATGATTAAATAAGAAACAGAAAGAAAAAAAAAAAAAAAAAAGAAAAAAAACAGCAAACAAATAGAAAAGAGAAACTCGTCGATGATAAAAACGAAAAGCAAACAAATTTTTTCATGTAAAATTTGTATTTAAAATGAATTATAATTCATGCAAATTTCCATAGAAATGAATTATATTTATTTTATTTATTTAATTAACGAAATAATCGGTCTATCGGAAAATTTTCAAAGAATTTTCTGGTAGATCTAATATAATGAAATAATTAGTTGAAAATCAAAAATTCCCTGCAAATGATTCATGCAACATACGCAGAATTGGTTCATTGCAAAACAGAAAGAAACTCTACTCTAATAAAACTTATTTCTACCACCTTTTCTCCCTTTTTTCCCTTCATCTAGGGATACAAAATTCATTCTCTTATTCTAAACAACATTTGGCAAAATTTCCGCATGAAAAATCGATTCATCCTGTTTCTATGTGTGCTATGGATGAAGAACAAGAGACCCCATAAATACGTGAGCGTATATATGTGCATGTGTGTGTGTGTGTGTGTGTGAAAGGTATCGTGCATTTTACGTTTAGTTTAGTTCCTGACACGTGACAAGAATTATGGTTCCAGTAGGAACGTCAATGGCAGTCGTCGTTCCCATTTTACTATCCTTTGACGTTCCCACAGGGTTGCACAGGGTGTTGTTCACACCCTTCTCGAAATCCCCTTCTGTTTCTGAGACACGCGTGCCGTTCGTATGTCGATATTTCTCTTCTCAATCGAACACACAAGAAGAACATTTTATTTTATTTCACAAAACGATTGATTATTGTTATCTAACACGCGTCCGATTTATTTTTTTCTTCTGTTTTGTTTTATGATAGATAGAACATTTTTTTATCATTTATTTTATCATTATATATATATATATATTTGTATTGCATATAATTTCAATATGGTGTCGTAATTATTTAACCCTTCGAGTGTTGAATACTTTTAACTAAAATGTTTTGTAGGAACGGAATAATGTATTATTAAGAAAATTTTAATAATAAATTATTGGATATAATTATAATTTAAATATATAATATAATAATATTATAAAATTAAAATAATGTAATAATTAAAGTTTTTATTTCTCTCTGAATATAATTTAATTTAATTAATATTAAAATTACATTATTTTACATTAATATTATCACGTATATGCGTCTATAGCACGCTAAGGGTTAAATTGATTTTATTTAAATTTAAATGTGTTCCTCTATTTGTAATAATTTTTCTACAGTTATAATTTAACGACGTATCGTTATGAAAAAAAAAAAAAAAAGAAAAATATGTAATGCAAGTAAAAAACTCGCTTGAACATTATGATGACTAAAAATTGATAAAAGAAAGCAACGGTGCGTTATCAGAAAATTACCGCAATAATTTTACCGCAATTGAACGAACATAATTTCCAGGAAAAGAAGATGAAAAATAAAAGGGAAAAAAGAAAAAGAAAATAGAAAAAAATAGAAAGAAACGAGTAACTTAAAAGATGATCACTACATCTCGAAGATAAATCGATACTAGAAAGAGGCTATCGAACCTACTTCTATTACTAGTTTTCATTTCCTCTTTCTTTCTTCTCTTCCTCCTCCTCCTCCTCACCTCCTCCCAACATTATTGCAACGATATTTTCCTACCTCTTCCACGTTCATTATATAGATTATATACATATGTGTGTATGTGTCTCTGTGTGTGGTACGTTCACCGGACGTCAAGTAAACAGGATACATGCACGAATTACGTTATTGTAAAGTCCTCGATCCTTTCTACCAAGACAACATTCATTTATTGCAACAACAAAAAAGTCAACAAAATAAATCAAATAAAAATAAAATCATAGAAGCAGTGTTTGATAACAAACACGTTTAAATATAATTTAACTAATCAACAGTTTATATATATATAATTTAATAATATAAAACATTTATATATATATTATATATATTATATTTATATACGATGAAAATCGTTCAAACTAACATTGAAGTTTCTAATCTCCAATCGATTATCGTTTCAGGGGTGTGCATCTAATCGTATGATAAAAATAATAATAATAATAATAATCGTCATCTCATATGCACCCGGTGAATCTGATTCAAGTTCGAAATCGCAACGTTTCGAGTGAACATATGCGGGTCGTTTATATATACACGTATGTATATGTAGTATATATATAAAAAAAAAAAGAAAAAGAAGAGGAAGAAGAAGTGAGGAAGAGTGGGGTGGAGAGGGGAAACCGAGTGCATCGTTGACGATCTTGATTTAAAATGCCGAGTACGATGACGAGTCTTATGGGGATCGTGGCATGTTCACCCCCTAGCTCTGCGTCACGATTGTAAGCACAGCTGATACCCCCATATAGACTACAAACACACTCTCTCTCTCACACACACACACACATACACATACATACACAGTTATGCATTCGAAAGAGAAAGGTAATGCAATGGACGGCTGCACACGCCCATCGTTTCGAGAACAAAAGGTGTAGAAAAGACAGAGTACGTTCGATAGACAAGGAGGGGAGAAGTGGAGAGAGGTTATGGTAACCCTACGGGGGTGGTAGCTCTAACAAACCCCATATGGGTTGCTTCTCTCTACAGCTGACCGCTTGGGCTCATTAATAAAGTACGTTACGAAAATCGTTCGGGACCCCACTGCTGTGTATGGGGATGTATTTTTATATTTGTATGGGGGTGTACACGTGTGTAAAAGATAAAAAGCAAAGTACGTTACTAACCTATGCTCGTTCTACCGTGAACGGGATTCGTTACAACGCGATCTAATCGACTAATATCTTTATTGTGTTGTCATTGTAATTATTCACTGAATTGATTGGTTTTATTTAGTATTAAGTTTTATATTAGGTCTAGCGGAAAATTCTGTCCATTTTGAAAATAAAATAAAATAATATATTATTCGTAATTTGAACAATGAATTAATTGAATTACTTTTGAACTATTGTCAACATGGTGGCAATTTGTTTATTCCATTTGAAGAAATGGGGCTTTACGTAGCCCTATTAATGAAAAATTGAACTAATGTTATATAGAATGATGCACGTTTTGTACGAAATAGCTACCCTCTGCAACCCCCTGCATTTCGTTGACGCTCAGACAAAAATGGCACCGGCATCCCGTGGTGCAACACAAAAATATAAACACAGAGGAGAGAGTGAATTTTCGTTGTCATCGCGTGCATCGAAACAACGAAAACGACGACAACGACAACGACGACGAGGAGTCATATCCAGAAATAGTCACGTCGCGTGGGTGGCTTGCACGAACGAACAATAAATAGAGAAAAAGACAAAAATGGAAGAAAATTAGACCACGAGTTACAACTCGAAAAGGAACAAAATGGTGGTCGTCTTCTCAAAAAAAAAAAATAAAAAATAAATAAAAAATAAAAAATAAAAAACAAAATAAATAAGACGAAACTACGAACTCTATTATTCCTAATTAAAATTGCAAATAATATTGAAATGGAAAAGAGAAATTTAGATCGAATGAGTAATTCTCAACAATAATTAACGTGTCACCAGACTTCCCGGCAATATTTGTCAACCTTGAAACCACGTGCGTTTAGTTTGCACGTGCGATTAAATACCCCTTAACAACACTCTTATTTTTCATCTCTTTTTGTTTCTTTTTTTATATTTTTTTCTTCTTTTTATTTTGTAGAAATCTATCCTTCAATGAGCTAGATAACCGGTTGCAACTTGTTATCGATGTTATCAACACGAGGACGTGTAAATGACCATCTCGAACAAAGAAGGAACGTGGAAGATGATAAAAGCGGGAAATTCAAAAAAAAAAAAGAAAAAAATAACTAAAAGAAAGATTTTTCTATTCGCAAAAAAGATAAGAAATATAATCTTGATTTTCCACTATATCAAAGTCGTATTACAACGAGAAGATTTCAAATGCTTAGATTAGATAGATCGTCGGATAAACAGATATAGATCTAGATTAGATTACAATTTAATTCCTCTAATAATAAAAAATGTTTCAATTGTTTCGCGAATATAACAAATAGAAGAAGAAAAAGAAATAAAAGAATCAACGAAGTATAAAACAATGACCAACTGTTAAACGTGAAAAACAAAACCAGGTATTCCTCCTGTTTTTTTTTTTTACAATTATAACAATTAACACGCGCGTACAATTTTTATATGCGTTATTTTTGTAATTGTTTAATTCACTTTGTAATAAACGTAAAGACGGTGTACGATCACTGTATGTACTCTCTCTCTCTCTCTTTCTCTCTCTGTTTCCTTCTCTTTTGCTCTCGAACGATGATGCTCCCTGCGCTTATCCATGAAAAAAAAATAAAAAATAAAAAAAAATAATAAAAAAAAAAAGAAATATTGAACCGATATCTATTTTTAACTTTATCACATTCGGCCAACGATACACCGCGATGCAGATATATAGGAGGCACGGTCATAATCGTTAACTAAACTTTTCCGTCGGTGAAGCTAACGTTTATTTCTTTCTGTTTTCTTTTCTTTTTATTTTCATTTAATCCCTTTCTCCTTGTCCTAAATTATAATTGAAAAAAGCAACAATAAAATTGTTACGAATATCCTCCTTAATACAGTATGTGTAAATCTATATCTGTTTATTTTTGAAAAAGTTAATCGTCAAAGTTTGTATTGGGTTGGCAAAAAAGTCATTTCGACTTTATGTTTGTTTCATAATTCTTTTTGGTTTCTATAGAAACAAATTCCTGGTGTTATTTTAAATAAACGTAAAAATAAATAACTGAGTTTTATTTCTCACTAGGAAATCGAAATTACTTTTTTGCCAACCCAATATGTAAATGCATAAAACAAAAAAACAAATTAAAACAAAAAAAAATAATTTATAACCTACATGTAATATGTCGCAACAAACATGCGTGTACAAAAAAAGAATATGACAAAAAGAAAAAAACGATTATTGCAATTTCTTCTTATTACCGACTCTGACTTGCGTAATTACGTAAATTGAGATGACCTTGCCGATCACTGGATTAGATTGACCTAGGCTGCAACGTTTTATTGTTATCTCTCTCTCTCTTTCTCTCTTTTTCTTTCTCTCTAGACCAAAATTATCGAATAAAATATTTATTTTATAACGAGAAAAAAAAAACACAAATGATTGAAGACCTTTGAAATAAAATGGCGTGACATCGAATAACAATTATCTCGCTAAACAAATGATTGGTTAAAAAAATGAATATGGCTGACCACCGAAAAAATGGCGCGTGATTTGTTAATCGTCTCAACTCCCATCAATTTTAAACGAAATTTTGCGATTATAACAAAAATATACAAAATATATATATAGAAAGAAAGAGAAAAGAGAAAAGAAAAGAAAATGTCATTTTGAAATGAATAAAAAGGTGAATAAACGATTGAGAAATACCGTAAATATATGCGTGAAATATGCAACGATATAAACAAAACTAATGTCGCCTTTGAACCTTGCTTTTAATCGTCAAAGATACACGCGTCATTTTAACAGAGATTAGAGACGTGAAAATTGCAAGTTAAGTTCGTAAAAATGTTCATTTTTACACACATTATATTCGCATCTTTTACATTCTTGTATTTTTCTTTGTTTCTTTCAGTTTTCTAACTCTAATCGAAGCATTTCATACTCTCTACCTTTCATTCTATCGATAGATGAATGAATTAATAGATATAAATAGATAGATAGATAAAAGAAAGATAGAAACGTTTTATTCTACGCTCATATAAGCCTTTAAAACAAACGTTTTCCAGCACTGATCGAGGTTACGCAATCGGCATTTATATAATCAAGAAAGATCTCTAAACGAAACACGCACACACACGATTATTATTGCGCTACTATCCGAGTTAAAGACATTTTTCTCTCTATCTCTTTCTTCGGAAGAAAAAAAATAACCGCTTATTTCTTACCACAGAGCTAAACGTTTTTTTAGCCATTCGAAAGCCCTTGACCACTCGAAGCAATTGGGAAAAGCAACAAAAGCTTTCATTTATAGGTTATCTCTACAACACTTTTTTTTATGCAAACAAAAGAAAGTCAATTTTTTAATCGTATTATAATCTAATCTAATTTTAAGATGAATACTCGATGATCCTTTACGACAACTAAACATTTTCCAAAACTTCAATTAGAAAAATTCGAATTATAGATCGAATTCGATTAATCGAAATTCATCGATGATTATTATTACGAATAAATATTTATTATGATCATCGATTCGATACAAGTCAAATGCAAGGAAAATCTAATCGATTGCAATTTTGTTTTCTCGTTTATATATCTATATTTTTTTTCTCATTTGATTTTATAGCTCGATAGTAGTCACGTGTTATTTTTTTTTCTAACAGAATCTCCACGTGGGTATATGAAACGGAGTAGTAGACAAAAACAAACGACTTTTTTTATTCATTACGAACTCGTTTTGTTTACATCCGACGGATATCTCGTCAATTGTACGATATCAATTAGATAAATCGACAATATATTTTTTACTTTATTTTGATATGCACGTGCCAAAATATAAATAACGTAAGCAAAGGGTTATATGTCAAAATGGCGCGCAATATTTTCAGTTAAAAAGATCTGTTACATATATGACAAATAAATATGATTAACTTAGGAAAAAACTTACGCGTGATGGTCGTGATTTTTCTCGTGCTCATCGGCAAGACAGGCGTAGAAGGTTCAATGGTGGAATATTTCTTTTTCCTGGAACTCTCATAAGTGGTATGATCATCGGAGGAGGTTTCATTCGGCGTACTTTCGCCAATTTCTGGTACTCTTGATCTTTCTCGTTGAGGTGGTGTCCTTTCGGACTTGGTATTTTCATCGAAAATTTCTTCTGTAGTTTCATCTTCTTGTGCTCGTTGATTAATCGTAGTTTTCTTCGATTTTCCATTGGTAATAATAGGTGCTGTTGCTATCGTCGTAGTCGAAGCTGCAACGACAACGACCGCGGTAGCAGTGGTGGCTGCTGGTGTTGTTGCTGTTGCCACCGCTGCTTTCACATTGGTCATTCCATTCAACGTTCGTTGGGGAGGCGTAGAAAGAAGAGTTGTAGTTTGCTGCTGTTGTACAACAACATTATTATCTTCGCATTTTCTTGGCGTCGAAGGCGCGTGTTTCCTCAAATAGGGCATACTGCGAAGCGCATAAGGCTCCGGTATAATATCCTTCGACGTAACAATCTCCCAATCATATCTTGAATTAGATTTGGGCATTTCCAAGTGAAAGTCGAATCCCCATCTCTCGGTATCCAACAAAGATTGGGCACGTAACTCGCGTTCGGCCAAGGCACGAGCAGCGGCATGGTCAACAGGACCAAACAGATCCCTTCTAACGCGCGCGAGAGCTGCTGTGCTCGGCACCGTTCGCCCTCCCCCTAAGTTCCGACTCATTTCCGTCATCATCGCCGGATTCAACACTCTTGCGCTCATATTTTTCGTTGTTACACCTTCTAGAGCGCGCAAACGTCGCTCTCTCTCTCCTCTACTTCTTTTCCTTATTTTTCTTTTCTCTAATATACTACAATGCTTTGTTTTCTTCGAACGTTCACACTTAAACGAACAAAAAAAAATCACTGTCCCTCCGCCGCCCGCCGAAGCGACGACGTTCGAACAATCCGCGTCGTAGTATCGACGTAATGAAAATTACTTTTGCCCGGCATAAAAGCCCTCGTTTTTCTTATTCCTTCACTGGTTATTGTCCAACTATTTCTTTCCCACTCGCACCACCGCCCAACAACAGAGATGATTATCCTTCTCGGAATCGTCGTGTCTCGAAGCGTTGAAATACTCGCGCCGAACAACAACCCGGCAACACCGCGCGATCCACCGAATTTCGAATAATGGCCGCACGTTCCTCCTTACTACCACTTCTGCGCTGCTGTTCTTTAACTAACTCTTTCTCTCTATCTTTCTCTCTCTCTCTCTTTTGAGATCAGAGATCAGCGAGAAGTTAACTGAGAACACACGATCTTATGTACGCAGTAATACTACTCTGATACCTTTCACTTCGAACGATTATATTCCAATCGGATTATTCTTCACGATCCTGTTTTTCCCAGCACATGAGTTTCTTGAAACGAAAATGTTTCAAGAGTCTAAGAGAGAAGTAAAGGGGGAGGCAGTACGCGGCGGGACACGGCGCAACGTTCGAACGCTGCTCGCGCAATCCGACAACACTGCAAGCGTAAGAGACGAAAGGCTGAAAACAAACTTCCAACGTTCACGAACGAGGACGAAGCCTTCAGCTTTTCTCTTCTTCTTCTTCTTTATTATATTCTTTCCTTCTTTTATTTCCTTTTGCGAAAATATTGATATTACTATGACGATATTACTTTCTCTCTCTCATTCCCCCTATTATTTCTATTATTCTTTCTCTCTGTCACACTTTACTCGTAACATTTTTCTTCTCACGTTAGGATTCTCCCCGTCACAAGGCCCGCAAAAAGTTTGATCCGGCAACGTTGCACGCACTTGCGCGCGCGAGACGACGACGACGACGACGACGACGACGACACGATGACGACGGTGGGAGGAGAATGAGGAGAAGATAGAAGCAAAAGGAGGGGGAGGAGGAGGAGGAGGAGAATGACGACGAAGACTGGAACGCGTTGAAACGCGCGTGCGAATTTCGAACCTGCTCGTCGCGCGCTTTTTGTATTATTCGTATCTCGGTATGATGACACACGCGACGATGAGAAAACACTTGCGAGATATTCAAACAAAAGAATAATAATTATCCTTAATCCTTTTTCGAATATGAGTTTTTCCTTTGTAGATATATGTATGTGTGTGTTTATGTATATATAAATTGCACACGGCCCGTAGGCTTCGTCGAAAAACTCTTTGATGCTTTTATTAATATGCCAATAAACTCCCGTCAAAGTTTGATCGATGATCACGATTAACCGTTATGTTTAATCTCTCGATGAAAATTGTAACAAACGATAACGACAATGATGACGACGACAGGATAATAATTATAAAAACACCAAAAGGTTTGCTTTTATACAATATTCTCTCTTTATCTGAAACGAGAGAAAACAGTTGTTAGCGGAATACAACAGAACGATTGTTGCAATTCGTTGTGTCTAATGCTCTTGTCACAAAAAAATATATAACGGAGATGCGCGAGAACGCGTTAAACGCGTGTGAAGCGCCTTCTAGCGACTAACTGTGGTTCCTTTTGCTGCAACTGTGCGAGGTCTTCGCGAGACGACCTCGGCCATTTCCGCCGCTGTTTCGGCCATTCCCGTCACCGTAGCGACCACCACTATCAATACCCCTACTCTACCCTACTCCTTTTCTTTCTCTGCTATGTATTACTCCGCGCAGATTCTTTCTCACTCTCACGTGAGGAACAACGAAAGGAGGGACGCAAAATAACCGTCGTTTGAAAGTCTCGCGCCCTGTTCTCCATTCGACGAGACGAGCGCAGCGACGAGCGATCTTTGAAGCAAACTCGATAAGTACACATATACATTCGTCTCTCTGTATACGTGTCTCTCTGTACAGTTATCGAACCTTTCCCCTCTCCTACTCATGTGAGTTTACCAACCATATACATATATACACCTTTACTTTTCGCAACGAATACAATCGAATGCTCGAACGTAGTTTCTCTCTCTTCTTTCAAAGGATTGATCTCATCTATTCTCTCTCTTTCTCTCTCTCTCCCTCTTTCTTTTTCTTATCTATATACTTACTGAGATATACCGTATTCTCTCGTCACTTCTTCTCTTTTCCTCCCTTTCCTTCTTCTTCTTCTTCTTCTTTTTGTACGCAAGCAAGCACGAAATGACTTACGTATTTGGAAGATCTTCGACTGCGGGGGGTATATAAAAGAGTGAGCACAAGAAAGATAGAACAAACTAGTCCTTTCTTTTTATCTCTTTTCTCTGGCCTCTTTTACTCTCCTTATGAAGACGCTCGCGTGCTTGTTTCTACACGTTTTCAGATTTGAAACTTGCAATGATTTCTTTGACTTTACTCGACTCTTTATGCATTTCTAAAGAAATAATGAAAGATCCTAGTTGATGATTTTATCTTGATCCACCTATTCAAGATGAAAATTAATTAGAAATTATTAAAAATTTCACTTTTTAATTAGGTTAGTTTTCAAACAGGAAAAGCTAATACAAGTAAGAGCCTCATTCATTAAGAGATGATAGAATGCATCCGTCCTATTATTCTATTAAATATTATGACCTCATATATATATATATTCTTACCTATATATACGTGTATCTATCTTTTATATAGTTTTAATTCGATATCACTTTTTCTCTATGTAAAAGTACTGCACAAAACTTCGAAGGACATTAATTAAATACGTTTTAAAATACATCTTACTCTTTGACCTGATTAGCCAATTACAACGCGGAAATAAATCTATGATTTGATTGGTCAATAAATTATATCGATTTACTGATATAAAACAATAGATTAATTTTTTATGCAAAATAAGGTAATTTATTCTTTTTGTTATTCTATTCGATTATATTTAATAATATTATTTAATAATCGTAATAATATGACATTAATTATTTCAATTTATTTTTAATAATTTTAATTCTTACCGTTACACAAATAGATCGCATATAATTGGCTAATCATTAAACTACCCGGAATATGACCAATCACGGTCGTCTTTTTGCATTTAACGGTTAGTGAACAGTTCTCATATATTCTCATGCTGTTTTAATGCATGTCCTTGAAGAGAAAAAACAAAAATAAAAAAATAATAAAAATAACAATAATAAAGGAAAAAAAAAAAGAAAAAAAAGAAAAAAAGGAAAAGAAAGAAAGAAAGAAATCCCACGCAGCATCCAGGAAGCAGAGCGAGGGTGGCACCGGATGCATCTCAATGAAGAGGAAACGAGCGAATGAGTACGCGCGTAAAACAATCCTTCTCAGCTTTTGCGTACCTCTTTTTCAATACCCTAATTTGCTTTTTACATACAGAGTTTTGCATGGCGTACACTTGTATGCTATGGAAAGGTGAAATTCCATCAAGTGTACCTGTCGACGCGTCAAGTGTACTTTTATCAACAAATTTATAATAGACGTAAGTAGATTCACCTAAGAGATTAAGAAATGAATTTTTTTCTTTTAATATTGTTTCAATATATTATACTGTATTTATGCAAAGAGAAAAAAAAAAGAATTATGTGTAGATTGGATTTGTAAGTGTATTAGTTTTAACATGATAGATAATGAATTGAAAGTTTTCTGCACGATTAATTTTGATTGAGTGATATTTAGAAAATCTAATTGCATAAGCACGTTAATTACAGACGATTAGGATCGATCGATCGATCGATCATTTAATCAGAAATTTAATCGAAAATTTAATCGATTGGATAGACAGTACTCTTTGAAACAATTGTAACGTTGTTGTTGATGCAGCAGCAGCAGGTGCTTTGCTTCCTGCTGCGTGTTCAAAACGATGGTCGAAAACGTGCTGTGTTTTTGTTTGATTATCGTCAAGTAGTATGTGTTCGCGCACATACATGATTTTGTGTATGTACTACTTGTATACTTATATACGTCTACTTGAGATTAAGGTTTCCAGGAACAAGAAGAACTCTTCGCGAGATAACGAAAACCAACCCGGAAGAACGTTGCTTGATAATTGCAATGACTGCTTGCTTGCATTTCATTGCTTGCATTTCACTGCTTACTTTTCAAAAGACTTCACCTGCATTTTGACTTTAAGAAGAATAGAACGTTTCTTTTTTCTCCGTGTATGTGTACGTAGGTGAGTAAATGCGTGTTATCAAATTTATGATAAGATTTGACAATTTTAATTGCATAAAAGAAGAAAAAGAAAAAGGAATAAGGAAAAGGTGTTGCTCGATAACGTTTAAATATATTTCCAAAGATTCGTATGTTTGCATTTAGATTATTTATCGTAATTCTCTGATTAAATCGATTTAACAAGATAACAAATTAAACTTTTTTGCATTTATTTATTCTTCTTTTTTGATATTTTATCGTGGTATCCAATAATCGTATTTATATTTGTAATTTAATTTAATTTTATTTCTTTTAGATTAAAAACATAATAAAGAGATAGAGATAGAGATTAGATGATTTTAAAGGAATATTAAAGCAACAAATTCTATCAGGATTATGAATTTTGTTGTTTCCCCTTCTCTCCATCTTTTTATTTTGATGGCACAACAACCCACCCTCGCGAAAATTTCTCCTTGAAGGATTCTCAATGTTCTCGAGCGAGAACAATGAAAGGTGGTGATGGTGATGCTGGTTGTGGTGGTGGTCGATGGTGGTCGGTGGTGGTCGGTCATGGTGTCGGTGGTGTTGGTGGTCTTGGTGGTGTTGGTGTACGCGAATATCCTTTTGTCACGGTGATTGTGCCCACTTCCGTGGGAATTCGCGGAACGGAAGTGCAATTTCTGGCAATGGGTACACACCAGTTCTATTACCAGTTCTACCATCACAGCTACCACTACATCATCATCATAATCATCATCATCATCATCAGCAGCAGCAGCAGCAGCAGCAGCATCATCAGCAACAGCAGCAGCAGCAGCATTAGTAGTAGCATTTCTGTTAACCAACACGATGAACGAATTCGTTCATTCGTTCGTTTGAACAGCCTCACGTGCAACGTGTAAAAAGCGATCCTTAAGAAGGAGAAGCCAGGTGCGTACTTCTTTTGCTCCTTCTCACGAGGAGGAATTCGGATTAATCCGAAGATATCTTGATACTCGTGGAATTCAAGATTCTTTATTCTTTTTCTTGTTCTTTTGTTTTGTTTTGTTTTTCTTTTTTTTTTTTAACTCTGTGCAAGGTGTACTGGTAAATAGGATTGTTAGATCTTGATCATGACTCATGAGGGTATTATAAGAATTGCACGTGTTTTTAAAGGTTCATCTCGTGTTAGAGTTTTGCTCTTTCTTTCTCTTTTGATCAGGTTAATTAATATTTTTAGTTTGATTTTTCGATCGATAATTGAAATGATAAAAATATTGGTTGTTGGAAGGATGGAATTTTGAAAGATTGTAAAACAAAATGGCACTTATATATAATTTAATAATTATATACCAAATAAAAAGACTTAAATGCTTTGGATTTCAATCTTTCGTCAAAATTGGCACAAACTTTCCGGACAAATCCAATATATTGACACTATAGGAGTTTGAAGATACGAAAAGGGCAACACTTGGTTTTGCTGTTTAAATTACGTCGTCGTTCATCTCCCTAGCATCAGCCTATTGCACGCAAGTTATGCACGACCTAATTTCATGTTTCCCTCTAATCTTTCTATCTCTTTTACTCTATCGAAGAGACGAGATGAAACATCTGCCGTTTGTGTCTTCCTCCAAGGCGTAAACATTTCATAAAGTTCTCTCTCCTCTTCCTTAGGAGAAGATGCTTGGATGTTGTACAGTTTATGTGGGTCGTGTTAACCACACATTTATTATGAGACTTCATTCTAACGTTGGGTTAACTGTCTGAGTTAGAATATTGTTAGAGGAAATTTTCAGGGGTTTATTATTTTTAAAAGGATTAGATTGAATTGTAAGAATTTCACAGAAATATATATATATATTTTTTTTTGTATATAATTGTTCGCGTTAGAAAAACATCATTTATAATACATCGTAGGTATTTTTATGTTTATTTTTTTTTATTTTCTTCAATCATTTCCCACGTGTCTTGTACAAATTAATTGATTTGTTAAATTTATTTATTTATAAGTTATATATTATATAAATATTAATGGTTGTATATATATATAGAGAGAGAGTAGCGTATTATTATTGCACGTTACCCTTAGAATAAATACATTTATATATCGAATTAAATAATGTGTCACTTAAAATTTAATATTACATAATATAAATAATATCATTTTATTTTATTTTATTTTTTTTTTTTCTATAAATTCTGGGACGCGTAAAAAATTACAAAACAAACAAATTCTCAATTTCCAAGTTTAAAATGTCCAATTATTCAAACAAATGGAGAAGACATTTTTACAAATTGTTTCACTTTGGTATCGTTTGGTCGTATTTAAAATAAATAGACATCATCGCATTGGTTCTGACTAGAACTTAACTGACAAGAGAGAAGAAACCACACATAAAATAATATAATAAATACATAAATAACAATAAGAAATATATATATATATATATATATTCACAAATTGTATGTTAATGTTCTCAGTCAAATTTAGAAATAATTTTCAGTCGTCGTGTTAATTTAAAAACAGAACAACATTATAATAATAATAACAATAATAATTACAATAAAGGGTAGTATAAAAATTAAACCAAAAAAAAAAATAAATAAATAAATAGAATACTTTACCCATTCTTTAATATCAATTTAATTATTATGAATTTTCGTCAATTACTGAAAACAAATATACTTATTTGTAGAAATGATAAAAATGTTTTTCTTTTCTCTCTGTTTCTTAGAAATACGAGTAATATCACGGTGGTTCATTTTTCGCAGTTGAGTAGTTCATCATAAAACGTCGACGATGCGAGAATGATTTCGATTTTGTTGCCTTCTCGACTCAGTTTTATCGTCCGCATCGACTTCTTTCCCTTCCGGAGGTACCTCCCCTTCGTCCTCTTCGTCCTCTTCGTCCTCTTCTTCTTCTTTTTCTTTATTTTCTTTTTGTATCTTATTTTTTGTCATCTCGTCTTCCTTTAGCTGGCCCAACTCGTCATTTCCATTTTTTTCTATCTTCTCAGTTTTGTTTTGAACTTCCGCGTTCATTGGAATTTCGTTTCTATCACGGTCGAGTTTTACCCACTCGAAGTTTCCTTCGAGTGGTATTTCCTTCTCGAAATCGAAATTCCATCTTTCTTTGGCCTGTTATAAACAATATCAAAATTCATTTCTTATTAATGATTAGTTATATATTAGTAGAAAGATAGCAGAAATTCGAACGTGAATTGAAATAAAATGTTATTAATAAAGCTCATAAATTATTTATTCATTTTTTCTATGATATTCTATTGCACTACATTTTGATAATTTGATTAACCTCTTCTCGATGTTTACGTATCTCTTCGAAGAAACTATTGACAACGTTGTCTTCTGAACCAGTGTTTAAATTACGACTTGTACCACCACCTTCTATTTCTTCTTCCTCTTGAAAAAGTCGTCTGCGAACGTTCCGTAATCTTATGCCTTCTTGAACGTCAACGTTCCTATCTTGCATCGTCAAACGAGCCCTGTGACATACAAAATTAATTAAAAAAAAGAAAAAAAATACAAAATACAAAATAAACGAAATACAATTATTTATAGTAGAATTTCTCCTACGTTAAAGCGTTCGAATTTTTGTCTTCAATTTATTGGATTGGCAAGAAAGTAATATTTCACACTAGAAAAACTCGAAATTACTTTCTTGCCA